TCAGCTTCCGCTTATGAAAACACTGCAAACCTCACATCACGACACAATTTCATAACACCATTTGTCTGTTGGTTTTCATGAAGTATAAAACACATCCACATCCTATCATACAGTAACTGTGTTGAAAACGGCTGCTGCTAAACTGTCCTGTACTGCCCCCTGCTGGACATTTACTGATTAGAATTCATAAGGAGAATTCAGTAGGTCTGTGTATTGTTCATTTATCTTGCTCTTCAATTGCCTAATTCACTTTCAGTTCTTCATCTCCACTCTAAGGCAATTCACTATTCGATGATCAGCTAACAGAGATGTGCAAATGTATTAAACAGCCCTTTTAACTGTTGTATTTGTATGCTTATTTAAATGTTTTCTGTGTGATTTGTCATATTTTGGGTGCAGACCTTAAACATTGGTATGTATATTTTCACTATAAGACTTCAAAATAAGTCTTCACCATGTACTTTTTTGAACAGAAGGAGGATAAAGAATGAATTTGAATTATACAAATTCTTCATAGATTTCAGATGCAGTTAGGTCCGATAGTAAAATCTTGAGGGTCGTAGCTCTCCCAGTGCAGGATAAGTACCAACACATCTGGTTCAGCTCATCAGCTAATTGACAGTTTGCTAAACCCCTCCTCTAAATATTGTCCAGATTGTCATAGCGTTGCAACTATAACTAGGTCCAAACACTTTGGACAAACTTTCCGAACTTTACGGTATACTACAGTTGAATGGGAAGACCGCATTATCAGTTAAACCCACGAAAAATCACATGGACCATGTGTGTGGTGAACTACCATGTCTGTTTTCGCTGTTGTTAACTTTGTAGCTAAAGCAAACAGTGAACATTAAATGAATATTAAGCCATAGGCAGAGAAATCCAGACACGTTTTGAGGAGCAAGTATTATTGTTGCATTTTTTTTTTTTATTTGCTAGCTTAGCCCCCACTGAAAGCTTTTAACAAGACTCAATGGGGCATACGCCCTAATTAATATCATTAAAATGCATTCAGCCATGCGTTTCTCTACCTTGCCGGTTCAAAGGCTGCCAACAGAAACCAAGGATGGGGGGGCATAACGAGGGGCCAATGATCAGGTTTTTCATGAATAAAGTGTGTTAAAGGACCCATATTCAACATTTGTCTTTTTATTATTTTATTTCATTTGTGCCCTGATGTGCACTTAGGCATGTATGTGGGTTTAGGCCATAAACATTTTACATGACCTTTTTTCCAACCTCTGCTTATGCTTTAGAATTAAACAGCCTGTTTTGGTTAATGTGCCTTTAAAATAATGTATATACAAATTATATCTGTTCTGAATGGCTGCGATGTCATGTGCTTTGTTTAAGTAGTATTCTTTATAACTGCAGCCACAAGGCGTAAAACTAACTACAGTAGGCTAAATAGGAGGATACACAGTATGTAAATGCATTGTCTTTCATGACATCACAAAAACAATGAATTTAAAATGGGTTGTTTTTACAGCTTAGTTTCCATATACAGACTGTATTAATTGGTAAGTAAAAGATTTTGAAACTCTAACAGTGTATACATAGGTCAAACCCAGAAAGGAAAGACGATTCACTTTCCAATGACACAAGCCCTTTAAAACAGGCAGAAGACCCTGAGCTTGGCTCTCGAGGACTTGTGTTTGAAATTTCTTTGAAATTTCTGTACAACCTTCCAATGAGGTGAGTATCAGAGTATCAGGGTTGAAGAGAATGGCCTGAGGAGAGGCTTCCACATGTGGAATTGCAGTGTACATTATAAATGACACAATCTTTGTACCTAATCATGGATTTATGAATCATGTGCAGATGCCCTGATTCCTAAGTGTGTGCTTGTATGAGCACTGATTTTTTGGATGAATAATCTTTATTAACTCCTTTTCTGTCGTTCATGGGTTGAACATGAGGTTTATTTATCTGTAGCAGGGTGTGTTTTTTCTTTCTGTGACGTTCTAAGTGAAGGTCTGCTGTCTTCTGTTTTCTGCCAACCTTTACGGAAGTCAAATGTCAAACACGTTCTCCCACCTTAATTAGCTGGCTGGGCACTGATGAGGTCAGGGAATACCTTCCTACACTCTCGCCCTCCCACACTTGCCGTGACGCCAGCGGAAGATGTCAGGGGAAACCCACTTCCCCTTCTGATAGATTCTGCTGCGTGCGGCTCTCTCTGTTTCTCTCGCTCTCAGCCTCTCTCTTTCTCTCTCTCTCTCTCTGCTTTTGTCTTACTTCCTGTTTCTCTCTCTCTCTCTCTCTCTCTCTCTCTCTCTCTTTCTTTTTCTCTCTCTCTATCACAAGTTCTGCTTCATAAGAAAGTGCTGTTAGATCTGTTAGATTTACTCCTGTGAGATTGAACACACTGCAAGTACTACTTCATAATGCAGTCATTGCTCTAATACTGCTGAATGTGTTCATCATTGTACAGTATGCGCTCATGTACTGTGTTAATGTTCAGAATGTCCCCAACAAGACCCACGCATCCCTGCACATAGAGGCAGATATGCAGTGCAGTGGAATGTCTACTTAGTCACTTTGTTTATGCAAATATTTGTGTGACATACGAGACAAGAAATTAAAAAAATCCCACCACAGGTGACCTTTGGGTCAGTATTTAAACAGATGTTCCTTTGATAAGCAAGTGTGTCTTTAGCATCTGAAAAAGGAAGTCCATTCAGTAACACTCTTGCTGGTGAATGAGAGAACCTCTGTATCTGCTTTGTGCTGAGTAGATTTAGTAGTGTTGGCACTTTTGAGGCAAGTAAAAGGAAAGTGAGAAGAGAAAATCGTAAAATTACATCACATTGGTAATCTAGCAAAGTAGTTAAGGCAAGGAGATAAAAGCCCTAATAGTTTCATACAGCAAATATCCAGAGAAAAGCTCATTTGAAAGGCCAGGACTACTCACGTTATACACGCAAGAAGACCACGTGTGGCTAAACTGACGTAGCACAGAATGGGGAAACTTCTGCTTTCATATGGTATAAATATCATATCATAAGAACGTTGTGAACTCATTATCAATTATGATCATCTTGGGAAAAAATCTTACTTCAAATAATTTCCCTCTAGTGTAGTTTAAGGACAGAAACTGCTTGTGCTTGATAGTAAGATCATTTTTTGTTTTTGTAAATTACTCTGTTCTTTCCAGAATGATTGCACATTTCTATAGAACTAAGCCTGGTAATTGCAGTCAAATCATTACTGTTCTAATTTGAGGATCACTGAACATGACTAAAGAAGTACCATAGCTATTACCAAATGTTGCAATCATTAATGTTCTACATTGTGCCACTGTACCAATTAAAACTGTTAATCACATGGCATGTAACTATGTGGCTAACTAGCAAGTCTGGCTAGCTAAAAAGATGTTAACTCATTGAACAATTGAAGCAATTAAATTATATTAACATAAGGCTGTGGGCAGAAAAATCTAGAATCATGGTAGCATTTTGTGTGTGCTATCATAGCCAACACTAGAAATGTTTAACAATACCCACTGAAGCATACATACTAAATGTTATCATTAAGAACAGAGATGAAAAGTAACTTTTACTTTGCTTCTTTAATTAAATTAATAATAATGATATAAAGTAAAACTAAATGTGTGGTTCAGCTTATAGACCAATTAGAAGATAGAGCGGTTACATTTAAAATATTCAGTTCTGAAAGCCAAAGCAGCTCCCAAAAACTCTTCAGGCCTAATTATTTCAAAGACATGAAGTTTAGTGTAGAATGAAACCGGAGAACATTATCAGCACGTACAAGGAACACTCCTTTACAGAGGCATAGCCAAGTGGTGGCCAGGTGTGGCCAGTGCTACCCTGGAATGAAGCATGGCCACCCTTCTGGCCCCCCAGCTATGGAAAGTGAGACAGTCAGCCATCTTCAATAAAGCTCCATTGTAATTTCCGATCAGTTATGAGAGTCTGATTACACTGCATTTAATAATTAGTGTATTTTGCTGTGAAAGACAAATTTGCTTAGCAAACAAGCGAATGTGGACTGGGTCCCTTCATCAGCGCTGCTCTGTGAGCTACATTATGAAGTAGGCTATGCCATGGTTAACTTCCATAAGAAGAAAACTACTTTTCTTTCTACCCTCACCCTCTGCTTCTCTCTAACTGGCACAGACAGCCACATAAATTTCAGTGAACATGTAATGGCGGACCATTTGAAGTTATTACTAATACACATAGAATTCTTTTTTTATACCATAGAAATCGTAAAGAATGTACTTCTTTAGAAGTATAGGTATAGATCGAGATATTAGCCTTGGTGTTACTTGGCATTGGATAAAAAAGAACCTAATCAACATAGATAGAGTTCTCTTCTCTTGATGTCCCATCATTTTACACAGAGGTCAGATTCATTTGGGATCCAAAGGATGAAAATAATTACAGAAGAAGTGACTGAGATGCGCTCCTTAATGAATGTGCTACTAGTACAGGATGGGTAAGATGTCAAGTAGGCTATATAGCCATAATGATTACTTAAACATTAATTACCGAAGACTTAAAATAAACACAACAGATGAAAAACTTCAATATATAGAGTATAACTATAGATAAATAACAAATATAGAAAAAACAAACTGCAATGACAGTTGTAAAAAATATACAAAGATGATGCTGCAAATATGTTTTGTAGTAAGAACGATACAATGTGTCAAAAATATGAGCTGCAAATCTGGCAGAGTAATTTAATGTATTGCATGTAACTTTGTTTTTGCATTGCTTTTTAGAACTGTCCAGTTGCATTTATGGAATTTATGTTATGGGCAACTCACAAGTTACACCATGTAAAGCCAGCCTAATGCAATATGTTGCAATCAAATCATTACTGTTGTCATTTGAAAGTGGTTGAAACTTGATTTTTTAGGTTCAGTTAGAGATGCTAATAAAAGAGACAGAGATTTGGTGCTAATATGATATATTATAATATAATATATAATATAGTATAATAAAAAAATAAACCACATGGCCACACAATTTATTAAAACGATTTATTTACTGAATCTCATTAAGCACAGATCTTACAGTATGAAATTACTACATAACTCCACATCAAATAATGAAAAATGAAAGTAACCATTTATAAACATCTTTCATTTCATAGCCAGTACACCTTATGTAACATTTAAGAATATGATTAAATGAGGCTTTGTACCTTTGTTTTCCTCAGATGACAGAGCCATTATCTTGTACATGAATCATGCTACAACTGTAAATGATACAAGGTGATCTTTTGCACTGCAACTACTAAACAAAACCACATTCCATAGGAATGACATTTAGCATTTTCTAGAAACTTCTGAAAATGACAGTAGTACTCAAAATCCAAAATATGCAACCTAGACACAACCATTTAACAATCCAGCAACTGTCATTGTTTCATCAATCAAGTTATATCGTCCAACAGATAATGCTAATAGACTTTATTACCATATATCATAATGATTAAATTCTGTATGACAGTGGAAATTAAATGCTTGAGCACACAGGCTCTCAAACAGGATTTGATCCTGCAAATCCCACCACAAAGACAACATTGACACCTCATTACCTTACAAACCCGAATTTAAGATATGTAAGTCATATACAGTTCATTAATGTGCTTTTCAACACTTTTTTTTGTATTTTAAGCTTGTCTAATATTGTTATGGTACAATAACATTGTGAAGAACTAAAAATACATGTTCTTAAATTTCTTCTCCAGGAGGTCCACCCTCATAGTTACAAAGAACATTAGTAACCTCTGAATATATCACCACTACAGAGTTGTGCAGTACATTTATGGAGAGACGGAAAGTGACACATAATGCGTTTTCCCCATAATGTGAGCTGATATTGAAGTGATGATGCAAAGGGGAGCCACAGAATGCAGGATGTGGCTGAGCATCATATCAGTCCAATGCGTCCTTTCATTCTCTTAACAGTAACATCGCACAGTGAAACAGTTATAGAAGGCAATACTTCATTTTAAGCACTTTTTCAGGTGAGATTATCTACAGTCCTCAAACTGTCACACTTATGATAACCTGACTTGCAGCCAGTACAATCCACAGTTAATACTACTACTCATTACTAGTCTCTGCCTGACACTGCTAAGTTATCTCTTGTGGTTGCTAAGCCAGACTGGCAGGAATGGGTAATGTGAGCACCTACTTTTGGCATAACGTCTCCAGCCTGCTGCAATGTAAATTTAGGCTTGCTAAGCTGTCAATGGCACTTCCTCTAAGATTGAGTTGCCAGTGACCATGCTGGCATTGTTCATAGTTTACTACTATAAACAGGATCCATATGTGCACACCTTCAGGCCTTTGGCACCTCAAGTCCAAGAAACATGTATATTCTCAAGAAAACAAGTTTCCTTAAAAAAAATCTTTTAGCCATATTCTGTAGTTGGTGGCCCCCTCACAAAGTTGTAGTAGCCAGTTAGAGCTCCAAGGTCTATGTAGAGGGAGCCTTTTCTTCTACAGGGGCCTGAATCTTCAGTGTACAGCGAAGAGGAATCTAAAATAAGAAGTGAGAAGGTTAAGGCATGCAAATGCGTAGACTGACAGGATGTGTCAGTGAGGGTGTGTATGCGTTACCTTGTGTACTGTCTGTCATTTGACTCTGCTGGCGCAGGAGCGGATGTGTGCCCTCTCCAAGTGCGGAGTCCAGGCTCCAGCAGCGTGGCTGGTCTTCTCGAGACGGGTGGAGGGCCTCTTCGTTCAGGAGCTCTGTGGCGGAGCTCCTCTGCGATGGGACTCTCTCCAGTGCCCGCTCCAGGAGGCCTCGCATGGCAGGGCTACAGTCCTCTGATATATCCTCCAGAGGAGGAGCCTGCTTATGGATCTGGAAAAGGGGATAGAGAGGACAAAATTGTTAACATTATAAGCCCTCAGAGGTCCTGGTTATTGCTAGCGATAAGCATGATATTCAATTTTTCACTGTTTTATTTTTACATTAATTATTTCTCACTTGAAACATGCAAAGAAATTCTGTTAAAAGGGCAGACTTTAACTTTCAATCAATAGCACATTTGTGTTTATAAATAGAAGAGAAGCTATTTTATTATGATTTGATTTAGATGCAAAGTTACTTTTGGTGTACACAGTCTTGTTTTGTGGAAAAATCAAATGGAAAAATAGACATGCAGACTTGAACCTAACTCAACTGTAGACGTAATTATGTAACTCTGTAATTATGATATAAAATTTGAATGATACAGCAAAATGACAGTAATAAGCTTTAAACAAGCAGTATTGTAGTTTCATAGTGGAATATAAAGCAATTAAAGTACACATTACTGATGTCTGCACACAAAAGAGGAATATGTACAAACAAAGAAATGAAAGTTTGGGCCAACAGGCTGAGCCCCCTATATGTTGATCTGTTCTAAAGGCAAGAAATATCTGTTTCCTCATCTTCTTTTTTACAGAGGATTTATTCTGATTAATGAAACATGGCACCACGTGCCTAGCTTCATGTATAGTAACAGACAACATAAAGGAGAACAGAAAAAACTAAGCTTTTTGAGGAAGCGTTTCACAATAAGTCCGGAAGCTGTAAATGGAAAGGGGCCAGTCTAGATCATGGAAAAGAGAACTAGCTATCACGCTGCATAAACACAATGACCCTCTGATACTGTCTTATCTCAAAGGGGAACATGAAAACACTGAAGACACTGGATGGTATTTGAAGCTCTAGGAGAACATGGTGAAGTGATAACCTCCACCAACGTAGCACTCGCGGTTTGTGTTATGTGGTTCTAAAATGTAGGAGGTGTTTAAAGCAACGTCTGACCACAATACGGAACTTCCTCCACATAGTCACAGCCTGAAACACGTACACAGCCAGACGTGCAGCCAAGACTATTAACAATTATATTTATGTAGACATTTATTGGGTTAATTTATTTATCAAGGTGCTATATTAAAGAAAGTGTTTGTTTATTCTTTGAAGGAAACACATCTACACATTAAGAATTAAAGCTCCTGATATAAATCCTGAAGTATACTCACAATGTAGAGGTAAGAAGGGTATGCTGAGCGGGGGTATCTCCTGACCCAGGGGGGGCTCCCAGTCTGCATGTGAATAATGGAGGTGCCCAGGCTGTAGATGTCTGTCTTTGTGTTGTGGCCTCTACACAAGACCAGCTCTGGACTCATGTACATCTGGACAAAGACAGAAAACCCCATGGTGATTATTTTTAAATACGCATGAAGACACCTAAACCTGATTAGCAAAATGAACCTGATATAAACCCTGTACATGATGTAAACATAAAACTTCTTCACACTCATAGCTGTCTTGTACAAAAATGTTTCTTTAAAGACCCATCCATTGTCTATTGGTGCTTCTTTCTTTGGAACAGGTGGGGAACCAAGGTCCAAAGTCCCACACGGTTTGGTGATTTCCAGTTCTAGCACACCAACTAAACCTGGAAATTAACTGATGAGCTTTATCAGGAGTGACTGAGCAGGAAAATCACTAAATACTTCCAAGACTGGAGTTCCCCACCCCTATTCTGTTGTATCACTCCAGAGATCTTTTTCAGCACCTGTATTATTTGTTTAAACTGTACCTTGTACAATAATATAACAAATCAGCTCATCAACTGCTTAGAATCTACTTGCATAAGAAAATGTTTTGGAGTTTTATGGGAACATTTTGTTTGCTGATTATTTCCTTGTCCTGAATAGAGTATTGCATAACTCAGTGCAATTTAATATTTCCCAGATGGAAAACATGATCTGTGGGGCAGCAGTGAGTCTCCTCCAGTATTGTAAACTCACTGTCAGCCCAAAATCATTAAAATATCACAGTCATGAGGAAAATAAATGAAGCACTTTAACATTTAGCACTGTGGAACAGACTGTACTGTAAACAAGAGCCATACTTTATCATGGGGACTTTTAAAGGGGCTGTCAACAGAATTTGAAAAAACATCTGCTTGCTGGACTTTCCAGCCAGGGCTAAACTAGAAACTGTGTGTGTGTGTGTGTGTACTTCAGGGATTTTCCCAGTGAGAGGTTCAATCTAAAGTAAAGAAGGCACACAAAGTAGAGGGGTTTCTATGCATTATGGACCTACTGCTTTATATTGCTTGCAACTCTAAGCTTCATTTCATCAGTTGTCTTTCTGCTGCCAAATCAAATGCATCCAATTATTACAACACAATTTATTACATTACATTGTTGATGTCTTGCGCATATGTTATAGCACAATGATCTGTAAGCAGTGAGTCAACGCACAAGGATTCGGATTCAGGCACAGACTTGCTTTATGAGATCTTCTGGCCTCAGGCCAGTCATTAACCCATCTCTGTGAACTCTAAAAGGGATGATTTTCTACTGCATCCGAAGACATTTTCCCCAGACATGAATTTGTAAAAGATATAGCGACTCAGATATCATAAAAGGTTGAATAAAGGTTCAGCCTCTTGTATCTTACTTCAGTGACCTCACATTGAGAAAACCAACCAAACTACATACAAAAAGAGCACCAAAGATTCTGGTCTCCAGTGCTGCTGTTGCCTTAAAATAACATATTTTATATGCCCTTCTTATTGCCATGTGAAAACTTGGTAATGTTTTTATTTTATGTGAGTTTAGCAACACACACTCACCTCAGTTCCTCTGAGGTCTCTAGGAACGTACACATCCTCCGTCATCTGTACTGTTAAACCAAAGTCCACCAGCACAGCTTTAGCAGACATCAGCACGATGTTACTGGCTACAGAGAGAGAGAGAGAGAGGGATAAGGAAGATGAGTTTTGCTGTCATCAAGCAACACATAAAATATGATCCTCATCATAAAACATTTTTAGATGCTCTGTCAGAAATTGTCAATGCAGGTGTGCAGCTTGTTGCATTGCTATGTTTCTGCAAAGGTCTCTTGTTTTCAAGCTAAAATAAGGACATGAGTCAGAAGCTGGTGGATGGACAGATGGCCACAAAGCCATAATTTCCTCTCCCCTATTCTGTCACTGACCCTTAATAACATGTTTATTCATATATTTATAAGTCAAAATCATCAACCAAAAGACCAACAGTTTACACTACAGGGTTGAATGCTGTGATAGATCAGTGGTCTCTCTCTGTTTTCATGTCTCTGGCTGGAATTTCCAGATATCTAAAAGGTCATGAGTTTTAGTTCTGATTGGCCCTCAGGCTGGCTAAGTGGGAAAGAAATACTGTTGAGCACAGCTGCCCTCAACTTCACTGTGACTTGAATTCAGCTGTGTTTCCGGACCTTTCAAAAGTCAAAACACTTCAACCAGCCTGTGACCAAAAAAAAACAAATGGCAGCACTTCCTCCAAATGGCCTAGATTTCAGTTCCTCTGAAACGGTTGACTGCCCTTTACCAGACAGAGGTGTAATCTGATTTACCTGAAGACCAACAATGCTGCGTGTTTGTATCCTGGCTTGAAGCCATCTGCGTTTTCTCAAGTACAAACAGTCCTCGGCGCATATAAGAACATTTTACCCACAAGTGCTGAATTAATAAAACGGTATGTTGGTCAGATTTGGGCCAACAGAAATCCACAGCTACAACTGCCACCACCTGTATATCAACTGCATGCGTAGAGATTTTGTGCAGTGCAAAGCCTAAATACAATTCCTTAGATCTAATACTGGTCATAAACCTACCACCAAAAATGCCCATAATAAACATGTAATGCAGTGATCTAATACGTTTTCAGAAGAACTCTTGGACTCACGTTTGATGTCATGGTGTATGATGTTATGTGAGTGCAGATATTCCAGTCCACGCAGAACCTGCTGGGACACCCAGATGATCTCAAACTCTCTCATGGGGCCGCAGCTCTCCAGCTTCTCCAAAACTGAGCCTCCTTCTCCTGCCTCCATGAAGAGGTGCACGCTCTGCTCCCACAGCAAAGCCCCGTACAGCTCTGCGATGTTTTCATGACGAAACCGTGCCTGGATCTCTACATCAGCAGGTTTGAAGTGCTCCAGAGGGATCTGCAGAAAGTTGATGAGGTTGGGAGATGTTCAAGTAAAGATCTTGAAGGAAAAATCTGATTTTGCCTTGACTCTAAATGTAGGAGATGAGCCAAGGCAAGTAATGGAAACTTATGTACAACAATTAGCACTGTGCAAACTGCATGCCTACACCATCACACACTTTCCTCAAACCATGTAGAGTGGTTCAGCAATCTAAATTAGACTTGCTTATGAGGTTTATGAAACCATGACATACTGTTATTTATAGAAATCAACAAACATATGTGTAAAATTCAGGCGTCAAGATACCTGCTTCTTCTGTTTTAAACCATGTTACAGGCTTTTGTCTTTTTTTAGTATTACATGCAAAAAATACCAATCTTCTTGACTGATCGCCTATATTTGGAGTAAAAAGTTATGTAAATTTGGGGAAAGTTATGTAAATTTGATTCTTTCCTGAACTATTTCCTGCTCCACAGGACCTACAGGACATACTTTCTGCAGACATGTAAACTAAGCTGGTTCGCTCTTAAGATCAGACTTGACAAGTATGCCATGCATACAACACTTTTATCCTTACTGCTGCACATTGTAAAAAGTCATAACGCCAGTTTCCCAAACCCAGATTAAGCCTAATATTATGCTAAAAAGAATCTCTACTAGAGATTCACAATTGGCACTGCAATTTAGGCTGAGACCAGGCCTAATACATGTCTAGGAAACCAGACCATAAAGCACACAAGGGAGGAAAATTGCAGGGGAAACTGTGAGAAACGCAGATAGCATTAGTCAGCAGGTCTGCATCATTTTTACAAGAGACAACTGATAGTGGGACACTCCCAAAGTACATGTGAAGTTGTACCAGCAGTTCCAGTATTACCTATTTGACAGTAAATGCCTATATGACATTTCATCTGAAGCCCTAAGAGTGTGGTATAACCTTTGAGCCTTTGAGTGAGCTGCATTTCATTGGTTATGTCTATGCCTTTAAAGCACTATTCTATTCATGAAACATGCTGTTTTTAATGGTCTCAGTAAACTTGTTACACAGAGAACGCTTTATAATCTGGCTTGTCTCTGTGCATTAACAGCGTAGCATAGCATTGTCCCTGGATGCCCTCTGCACTTTGTGTGATAGAACATGGGGAGTTCCTGTCACATTTCCTTTCTTGGCTGCTGTAAAAGGGCTTAACACTAGACCTCCAAAGAGCATTTTAGGGAAATCAGGTTCTTTCCTAGCACATGCTGTTCCTCTTTTGAGAATATTCTCTCATTGCAGCAACAGCTAGAGTTACAGCAGATCAGTTTTTCTTTTTCTGTTCCTCAAGTTATGGCCCTTGTGATTAGTACATGAGCAGACACATGATGAAGCTGTACAAGTTTGTGACCAAACATGTCACTTAGACTTCTTTACCAAGTTAGAATCTAGGAACACATTAGATGCATTTGATTACACATGCATCCGGAGCACATTTTAATGAAAAGTGCATTAAGAATAAAATTGATAAAGACTATTGTTCTTAATATTATAGAGAGCAGTGCCTTTGTTCATTAGCCTCTTATAATAACTATGTGAAAACTTTCTGTAGGCTTCTATAAATAGCACCAGTAGGCAAAATGTGCATGCACCCATTCTGAGTCTTTGTACTGCTCTTGTTAATATGTAACAACAGTTTAAAACTGCCTGTAGCCTAACAGGATGTACTGTAATACACTGATGGGAATGGGAGTTGTGTCCTTGACTGGAATTCACAAACCGAATGAGTGGGAAGTTGAAGAACTTTGGCTGACATTCCTGCATTCTTGGACTTACCCGCTTGCATGCCATCCGCTTGCGTGTTTCGGTGTCCTGTGCCAGGTGAACTTTACCAAAAGAACCTTTTGGAATGTGGCCTGAGCCTGGCGCCTTGTACGTCAGTCTCCATGGAAACAGAAGCACGTCCACGTCTATGCGATAGCGCCCTTCCTTAATGACCATGTCACTCTGCACAAGCACAATGGGGAGTGCACATGAGATAGAGACCATGAGACAAATCAAATGACGTTAATGAGACATGCACAGCCGCAGTCACACTACTGTGTGCCAAGAAACTGGGTGGCCATATGGGCACAATGTATTATTACAGACAAAGAACCAATGTAAGGTATTCATGAACAACCATAAAACATACAGCACATGCACTGAATAAATGATACATGCTCTTGAAGCATCTTCTATGATTAAGAATACTATATACTTAACAATAGAGCCTTCACTGTATTTATGGCGCACACACATATATATACATACATATATGTATAACTACAAATCTACAAATACAAATAACTACAAATCACTGTCTGGCACATACATACACATATATGTGTGTATATATATATATATATATATATATATATATATATATATATATATATACACACACACAAATGCAAAATGCCAACAAATCACTGCAGATTAATTAAGAAGGTATTTTTTTTATTTTAATAATAATTATTATTAAATAATAATTAATAAACATGATATTTTGATAAATAGCATGTTTATTAATTATAAACATGATATTTTGATAAATATCATGTTTATTAATTATTATTTAATATAAACAGATAAATAATAATTATTAAATAATAATAAATAAACATGATATTTTGATAAATATCATGTTTATTTATTTTTAATATAAAGTATCTCACCTTGTTCAGGAGAACTCCAATCTCTTCCTGTAGCTCCTTCAGTGTTGAGGCTGATGTATTGGAGACCATGTTCACAAACGCCAGCAAATCAGACACAGTCCCATACTGGACCTTTCCCCTATTCTGCACGTGTGAAACCAAGCCACCTAAAGTCTCCTCATTTTCATCCATTTCGTCCTGTGATAGACACTCCTCGAACAGCACACCTGATTCCTCGTCTTCTCTCTCTGAGTAGAGGTGCTCCACTGCTTGGATGATGTCTCCAATATTCATGTGAGCCAGAAGAAGTTCTATCCCAACATTGTCATTCTTGAAATCCATTTTGGATTATGAATCTACTCTGAAGTCTGGAACAGAGAGCTTTGGTTAGACTTACATTTGTTGCAAGTGCACGCTTCAAAAAACTTTTAAACTTTAAAGAAAAAGTTTAACTCAAAGCGAGCTCAGATGGATTAAGGCAGATACAACATGCCAGCTGCTGTTGAAGCTGCTGAGCCAGTTTGCTGTTTGCTTTACAAATGAAGGGAGTTTTTCAAGAGGAAGGGAAGCCTCACAAATAACAGCCCCCTCATATTCAAATCGTCTACAGTAACGGCTGCCAACAGTGAACAAAACAAGTTTTTAAGCTGACAGAAATGCTGCTGAAGGGCTGTCTGCTAAAGAATCCCAATACATTAACATTTCTACAGTACAGTAATACCATAAGAACTTCTAGGATTTCTATAGTGGTGTATAATACATGTATAATAACTTATACTAATTTCACTTACTATAATTACTGTAATCCTGTTTTACGGTTATATAATATTTGTATAGTATTCTGAAGTAAACGTAGCACTTGAATAAATTAATAAGTGATAAATGCTGAGATCTAACTGCAGCCATTCACACAGAACAGCCTACATCACCTGCTGTCTGACGAGGATAAAGTTGGCTTCAAATTCCACCTTAAATGGTGCTGCAGTTACACTGTGGTCCCTCTCGTGCCAGGGGTGCAACCGCTGCACTATTTAAGGTGGAACGGACTATTCGAATAAGAAGCTAACTTCAGCTTCAACGCTGTATGGCGAGCCCAGTCAGTCACTGGATTTCTCTTCATTAGTCTTTCTTTAAATGATAAAGTTGGAGATAACTTTCTACGTACCTTCATAGATTTGTAGATCAGTTGAAGTAGGTAACCTCCGTCTGAAACGCTTCAGGGCTGTGAATGTGTCCTGTGAGACACTGCAGTGCTGTTTTCTGCTTCGCTCCGCCTCTTGGCCTTTAGTCACATCTGCGTCAACTGCGATTTCGTTTTTCTTTTCAGCCTCCTCGGTTTTCTTATAGGCCGAACTATCTTGCCACTTCCTTGGTTTGCTTCTGTGGAAAAAAAAAATCAAAGGATAAAGTTGATCTGTTTTGTGACTCGGTTTCTGCACGTCAGCAATTTTAGCCGCATTTACGCTGGTTGGCACTCAAAGGTTTAGGGAAAAAATGTGAAATAAAACCAGTCGGTGTATAAATATTCCACTTTGTAAATATTCGTTCCTAATGAAATACATGTAACTTTAAAAAGACTGCAAATGTGTCAAAAGGATAAATGTGTTTTAATGTCTATTAAAACGCCAATTTAATGTGTTTCTCAACTTCTACTCTGAAACGACAAACGACATTTTTGGTCCCTTCGTAGCACCTGTAGAATGAGAAGTGCGCATGCGTCCTTTAGAGCGTAGCAATGGCGGCCTGCTTTAGCGTGTGTAGGTTACATATGAGGGGAGCGGACAGGCTGCTTAAATTATGTCCAAACTCGGATTTACAAGCACAGCGGAGGCTCGCTAGGACCACCTTTGCAACTAAAGCCCAGACAGTCAACAAGACGCTTCACGCTGGTACGTTAAAGCGGCCTAAGCGACATTACTGGTCACACGAGCCTCATGATATCAGCCCCTCAGCCGGATCTCTGAGCCGTGTGAGATACAGAGAGAAGCTCTCTCTGTCTTAATATTTCACTCTCACACTCAGCATGGACTTTGTTCATCTGGTTGTCTCTTTACTTTGCTGGTTTGCTAAAGAAGGGACTGCCAGTCATGTCACCGACACACTTAAAAAGATAGTTCTTTAGGAAAGGGAATGTGTTGTATGTAGTTCTGTGTAGCAGCAGAGAGGTTTCTTATATTGTTAGGGTGTCAAGCTTTAGAGCAGGGGTGTCAAACTCAACCCCTAAAAGGGCCATATAAAAAAAAAAACTCTACAAATCTATGGGCCAGAGAACATCTGTGTTTTTATTTGATTGTTAAATAACATTTTGGTTTTGCTGTGTGTACTGCACACCTTTTCATATTTTCTGAATGTTCTAAACAGTATAATGAAATCTAAAACTGTCACTGAAAGGCCCGTCGGTCTCTTCTGATGGTCTCCCATTTGCTGCCTTTCGTGGAAACCATTGCCAGTTGTCAACTGGGCATCTTGGCACATCCTGTGTATTTTGTATTGTTTACAGCTCAGTTGCTCAGGTTGCCATTTTTCACAATAGTATGCTACTTTGTAATCTTTTGTAATCTTTTTTCTGCACCAAGTCAATATAAAGTATGTAATTACAGCCCTGAAGATTCACTTTGCATAATATCGGCAATTAGTTATTGTGGTGTATGATAACCTCGATTATCAGCACAAGGCGAATCATTTCCCTAATGTTTGTATTTATTCTTGTTTATGTAGTCGGTGTTCTCTGGCTTTTAAGCGCTACACAATGAGGAATTTAATGTCTGTGACCCTGAATGTGCACTATATATTGCTGCTGATACTACTACTGAATATTTAATTTATTAATACAACTTACTGATTTGACCATTTCATTATGGTGTTTCAGTGGTAGAGCCCCTGTTTGTACAGCTTTGACTTTTTATGCCACATTTATGGGAAATCTTATGGAAACTGAAAGGGTCTTCTTAAACAGCAGCAATCTGTCCATAATAGTTTCTGCTGTTCTGTAGAAATGGGCTGTATCTCAAGTGACTTCCTACCTCCTCTATAGTCTTGAAATATTGACTTCTTCATCCAATGTACTGTATGTCCAATATCCACCCATTATGTTTCACTTATGCTTATTCTACATACTTTTTAATCATATTTAGCTCCAACAAGTGTTGAGTCCTTTTCCTCGATCCAAGATGAAAGACGTGAACGAGCTGAGAGGTCTGTCCTGATCAGCTGCCCTCCCAAGATCAACGAGAGAAAGTTTTTAGATTACTTATCTAAACATGGGGACATAAGAAACTATTTCTTCTACCAGACCTATGTGAGTAAATATAAGGCAGTAGATGTGTTTTGCTGTCTAAGCTAAGCTGTTTGGCTTTGGAATCTTTTACTAAAAACTGTTATTAACAAACTTGTTTCATGCTTAGTTAAAATGATTGGCATACTTAGGCCTTTCTGCATTGGTAGCAGCTGACGCATTCCTTTGCATTAAGCCCTCTATAGTTTTCCTAATATGATCTACTGGATGGGCTTCACTAGGGCACCTAGTAGATAAATAGAATTTTTAGTTTTGCAGTTCTGAGCATAAGCCTTCATTATATAGTATGTGTTTTGTATAGGCTAAGTATTGCATTAAATGCATGCTTCAGCATGAAATGTCCCCCTTTGATGAAGACGTAATATCTTTGAGTCCTAATCTGTGTCCATCGTTCCTTAGGGCATGTATGCTGTGGTTGAGTTCTCCAGCAAAGAGAGCATCGCAGCACTACAGGGAAGTTGTACCATACCGAGTGTCCAGCACGAAGCTTCTGTGCCTTTCAAATCTCGTCTGCTCTCACTAAAATGGACTGGGTCAATTGGACCAACCACGCTGAATTGTCAAGAACAGTTGCCAATTTCCATTAATGAGCTTATCCAGCAGCTGTCCAAACAAGAGAGTGTAAGTTACCATTGACAACCTGGAAAGTGAATTTGAGAATATTATACCTTCAAGTCAAAACTGTGACCAAAGACCAGAAGTTAACAGCACTCATTTTTGTAAACTTTGTGTCCCTTTAAATGCAGTAGATCGCTCGAATTTATGAACAAACATTTAAGAGAATTTTAGTTTCTCTAATGATTTTAACAAGTTATGGTTTCACTGCTCACAGATTTTGTTTATATTATACCACTGAAAAGTCTTAAGTGTCAAGTAAATATACAGTTTTATCTGTTTCTTTTGCAGTAACATGAAAAACTTTGGAATATTATCACTTGTTATATAAGCAATTTTTTGTTATCTTATGTACAATAATAACTTGTACAGTGAATTTAAATACTTACAAAGTTTTAGTCAAAATACATTTTAGATGCTTTATTAAATAGCTCAACAATTCTTAAATGATGTACTCTTGTATTTACAACAGTATGTATTTACTTTCATTTGTTTTTTTCTTATGTGTGGTCAGATTAGATTTTATATATGATGCATATTAATTCTGGATATAAATTTTATTATAATTAAATTCTGTACACTTTTTTTCTTTTAGAATCATTTACAACTCTGTTCATCATGCTAAAGTTTCTTAATTGTTTTTTTTTTTTCTCATCTGTAGTTTTTTACTAATTTTTTGAAACCTGTTAAGTTACATAGGACTGACATATTAGAATTGTTTTATACACTTACCTGCAAGCAGATTTTTTTTTACTGTTGAAATGTGTGTCTTTTGATTGTGTCTACATTTTTTTACATTTTCCATCACTCTGTGTGTTCCCAGATAGATCAGCAAATGCAGTGCCTGACAGAGGCCTATCAGCTCACAGAGGAAAACATCAGTCTGCGCTTCTTAGTGTGCTCCCTGCTCAGAGACATTGCTGCTGCTTATTTCCCAGAGTGCATCATTAGGCCTTTTGGGTCCACTGTGAACAGCTTTGGAAAATTGGGCTGTGACCTGGACATGTTCTTGGATCTGGATGGGGTCAGTGGGCAGAATAAGAAAAAGGTCAGTCTTTATATGTTTCTATGAGGTGTCCAGTGGCTCTGGATCAGTGGTTTCCGACCGTGGTTCAAGAGGAGCCCCTGCCCTGCTCTAGATCAGAGGTTCCAAATCATTGGGCGAAATGAAATTAATATTATTTTAATAGCATTTTTTAAAGCCTAATCCTTAATAACTTTTATAAAAAAGTTTAAACGTATTGGCATATAGAACATCTCTGTATGACCTTGTGCATGCATGTAAGTTGCTATTGGCTGCTTTTAGCCGAGGGCTAGTGTACGTGAAGAAGTCAAAAATGAATAAACTGACAACAGTAACAAACATTTTATTGTGCCTTCAAACACGATGCCAGGATTTGATGAAGAAAAAAAAAGCAAGCATCATTTAATTTAAAAAGCATGTTGACAGCACATTGAAGTGGCAGAGAAAACAGCTGGCAAGAAAGTACAGACTGAAAGATCTGCTGTAGATCTGTTACAAGGAGCATCAAGTTTAGGAGAGAATCAGCAGCAGAGCCACATTTAGCAGATAATATAGCAAATCAATATATATCGCATCAGTGCTTGCTGTTAAAAAGGTTGGAAACCCTGCTCTAGATCCTTTAAGCTGATCAGTTGAACACTAGATGATGTTTGGCTTTTCAGTTTTGGCTTTTCACTCCAGTGCAGTGTTTTGTGTAATAGAATATCCTCTGTGTAATGACTGTAAATCTTCTGTGTGATTATGTCAGGGCTCAGGGCTTTCTCTAGAGTACCAGGTGAAGAGAGGAGCTTCCGAGCGGAACGTCACTCAGAGTATCCTGTCTGTTATCGCCGAGTGTGTGGATCAATTCAGTCCAGGCTGTGTGGGTGTCCAGAAAATCCTCAATGCACGATGCCCACTAGTTAGATTCTCACATCAGCCATCAGGCTTTCAGTGTGACCTCACAGCAAACAACAGGTAAAGTGACCATGTAACTCTCAGATTTCATAATTTTATTATTAATATGAGGAGTTTGCCATAAGAGTAACCCTGATCCATGGTAGAAAATTGTGAAGTATATTTCTGCCCTTTACTGACTGTAATCATGCATGCAAACTCGCTGCCTTTCAGTGAAATTCTCCATTTTAAATGATGAGTATGCTGTTCATGTGAATCGTGTAGATGTAATGTGTTTTTAGTTTTAGGAATGGTGTCTGTGAGAGAGTGATTCCCCCCCAAACACAGCACCGCAGCAGCTAATGACCAACATAGAGATAAAGCATTTTAGCGACTGTCTGCAAATTTCATTGTGAGGTTCAAGCGCTGTGTGCTATTATGGAGCCAGTAGAACATGTGATGGGCAAAGTTTTTAGAATGGCCTTCATTTATAGTAGATGTGGGGTCTCAAAAAGATCTCTGCCAAATTTTGTACACACTGACATTTTGACCTTGGTATGGTGAGCAGTAGAGTCAAAATACATAGAAAACAGCATGTTTGATGTTTTTTTAACATAACTTTGATTTGCATAGTTGTTGAACTCAGTGAACTAAATAGTCCATCAGCAATTACTCCTATATAGGATGCACACAAATTGTGAAAATCACAAAGTTTCTCGTGGAAACGATACCGCCGGATCCCACCACAGAGGATTGGTTTCTGAGCTTGTCACATTTTTAATTGCTCGTGAGTTTTCCTGTCTGGTAATTCAAGGGTACATTATGCAGCCGCTTCTCATTTGACATAGGGGTCTGCTTTATCTACAGCATGACCCCACATTTATCCCGCTAGGTCAGGATCGGAGGGCAAAGCGATACATGAAGTGTTTTATGAATGCAATAGTATCATTCATTCATTCATTCATATTGATTTCTTTTTTTTTGGGGGGTCATTTATTTTCCCTGTACTTGTGTTTTACATGAATTCTATCTCTCCTTCAAGTTGTGGTCTATATTAACAACATATGCAAATGAAATGTGCAAGCAAATCTCCATATAATTATTCGTCACAGAAATGTACCCTGATTCTCAGGATTTCTGAAAGTAATGTTACTAATGCTTATTGCTTGTATCTGGAAAGTTACCAACAGTAACATAAAACCGAGGGAGAAAGAGAAGTGGGACACCATGTAAAGAGAATGCAATTGTGTGAGCAACACTGAAACTGCAGTCTCACACAAAATGAAGTAGAGAGACTGAAACAGCCAGAGTGAAAATTTACTCTCCTTCTCAAGAAAGATTTTGAAAGATGGACAGCAGAAGGGGGAGAACAAAACTTCTTAAGAACAGCACACTAATACAATAGAGAAAACAGTCAAAGATGAGTTTTATGTAGCAAATTTCACTTCCACGTTAAGCGTTGTCTTTATCTGTGAGAGTGTGGTGCCTGTACAGCTGCTGACACACAAACACAGTGCCTTTCACTGGACTGAGAAACTGCTGGGAGATTCCCATCACTCTCAGCAAAACTATAGATGGCTGCAGGCTAACTAGACTGGCTATAGTGGAAACCCTAAAATGAGAGAGAGACTGTACTTTGATGCCAGATTCTTCAGAACTTCAAGGGTTTTTTTTTTCATGGCAGAGAAAATTATTCAGACTGCAAACGTGTATTAGTAATAAGTTATTGGAAAGCCCTTTGTTTTCAGTGGAGCTTCAGTCTCCTTTGGAAGTTTTGTACTTTTTACAGATGGAAATTAAATTAGATCAGACCTGCTGACATTAGCTTTAGTTGTAATGAGTTGACATTATAATCTTTTTATTGACATTTTATTTTATTTTTTTTTAACTACTATATGTAATGTATGCCAGTGAGGTTTAACTTCTAACTGCTCTGCATTTTCCCCGAGATGCTTGTTTTTGTCTGAAAATATGCTGTCATGTGTTTTGGCACTAAACACTTTTTGTCCAGTTTGTATTACTGACTGGTTGGTGTTCAGTTGGCTAGGAAATGCAAGTATAAGTATAAAATCACTTCAAAATGTGACCCCTTTTGATCAGTGGCTTATTACTGCCCTCTTGTGGATGATTTGTGAAAGTCTTTAGTCTCATTTAGTGGATTTGGATTCAATGCATGTGTTTTGTGCTGAATTAAAGGGAAAACATCATTCAATGTCTGATGCACATTCCTAATTAGTTGACAGTGATCTTATAGTGCATGGCATTTTATTTTCTTAAATGATACTGTGTACTAGACTAGGAGTTTTTTTCAGTTTCCAGTGTATGTATATTTGTAGGGTTTATGCTTTGTAGAATTTTAAACCATTGATCAGTTTTCACCTGTGTCTCTTACTAATGAACCACTGACTCACTTTCTGAAATTGAAACCGAATAACAGCATTTTTGCTCATTTGTTGGCATGTTTGAATGTTTGCAGACAACATAGATGTACAGTTTTAACCCTTAGACTACAAGTTTATTGTTCAGTGATTACTTGTTATTCAATAACCATAAATTATTAGGTAAGCTCTGTGAAACCAATGATTGTTTTCAGAACAAAACACTTTATCTCTGTTCTTGCCATTTTTCATTTCTGACATAATTTGAAAATACCAACTGTCCTTTACATTGTATAAAAATGTCATGACGAATGGATCAAACAATTTTTTCAAAATTATTTTGAATAAGATCTCTTCAACATTAGCTTACAGTGAAAGTTCAAGTTTTTACTTCTCCTGAAAGCTGTTTTATTGATACAAGGGTTTGTTCCAACAGCCACAATAAGTTTTGTAGTGTTAGTCAACATGCAAGTTATACACAAGTCCTTGCCATTTAAATGTTTAATATAATGAATCCAAGTTCAACAGAGAAAGTTTGATTCCTTGTTCTAATATGTATTTTTTTGTTGTTGTCGTTTAAAGAAGAAGCACTACTTCGTATTTTATTTGTGGTTCCATGTGTGTCCACAGAGTGGCGATCAAAAGCTCGGAGCTGCTGTTTGTGTATGGATCGTTGGATGCGCGTGTGCGGTATCTGGTGTTTACAGTGCGCTGCTGGGCTCGTGTGCACGGCATCACCAGCGGCATTCCTGGAGCCTGGATCACCAACTTCTCCCTTACAGTGCTGGTGCTGTTCTTCCTCCAGCAGAGGACACCTGCAGTGCTGCCCACTCTGGACCAGCTCAGAGACCTGGCAGGTATTCACTCTTTCTGTACACACTGACTTTCAGGCCTCCACCTCTGTATACAGTTTCTGATGTTCTTTCAGTTTTGCTCTTTAGACTGTACTTGTTTTTCCTCTGAGGTTATCTCTCTCTGCTGCTCCTTCTCCCTTGCTTGTTCCCCCTGAGTTGCAGTGGTGGTAGGGGGGCGTTTATATCTGTTGGGCTTTTTTTCTTCTCTGTAGTGGGTACCTTGGCTCACAGATCAAAGCTTGCATCAGACAATCCTCTTTCATGTACAATCCAGCATGGCTCTAGGACAATAAAGGAGTCCTGGCATTTCTCGCGCTCTCTCTCTCTCTCTCTCTCTCTCTCACTCTCTCATGCTCACTCTTTCTCTCTCGCTCACACAGACACAGAGTTATTGGAGTCAACCTCAGTCAAGGGTGTTGAAGCCAGTTGTGATGTAGAACGTGTCTCTCATCACAAGGCCGTATAATACATAAACTGCTGTGTGTGTGTGTGTGTGTGTGTGTGTGTGTGTGTGTTTCTTCCTTAGGCCCATCAGATAAGTGTGTCATCGAGGGAAATGATTGCACAATTGTCAGTGACCTAAGCAAGATTAAACTACAGGGAAACACAGACACACTAGGTAACATTTTTTATCAGATGTCACACCCAGTGATGATAATTGCCTTGTCATGAGAGAAAATCCAGTGTTTTAGCTTTGTAGCAAACAAATTTATAAACTAAGGCTGAAACAGTTATTTGACACTTTCAATAAAATCAGCAACAAAAGCTTTTTTTTATAAAGTGACATCCAACCTAGAGTAAGTCAATAACTTAACCTGAAAAGGGCAACAATTCACCTGTAGGGTCCTGCCTATGTGAAAAGGTAGTGAAAGAAACAGAACAGTTATGGTTTGAAAAGAAGTAAGGTCTAGAAGTTTACTCTCAAAACAAAAGAAAGCGTAGCCATATACAGTACTGTGCAGAAGTCAGAGGCCACCTTTGTTTATTTAATTTCCAGTCAAAAAGTACAAGTTATTCATGTTTTAGCTTCAGGAAAAAACAGCAAACTCAGAAAATTCTGTAGAAGCCTCAATGACTAAATATAGTATCATATTTTCAGTGTTTAATATGTCAACCCTTTGCTCTTATTAGAGCTTCCAATGGGAGACTTGCTTTCATTCTTAGAAGTTGGTTGCATTTTCTGCTTCAAATGATCCAGGTAATCCTGGATTAGACTCATCAGTCCATAGAGCCTTACTCCGCATCATATATCCAGTTTTAGTTTTTTGTATTCGAGTGCAAATTTTCTTTTGCGCCTATTTCCTTTTCTCAATAATGGCTTCTCACATCCCTTTAGACCAATAGTGTTGTGCTCTCACAGTGGAAGGATGGTCAGAAACACTTTTGGAGTTTCCAAGATCTGAAGCAAGAGCTGAGCTTTGATCTCTCAAAGATGAAAGCTTTAAGGCCTATTTATCTGATGGTGACAGTTTTGGTGGTCTGCTAGGTCTTGCACAGTTGTTGGAGTTCCATTTTCTCTCTATATTTGAATTATTTTTTGAACTCCTGTTTTTTCCACTTATTTCCCTTTGATTTTACCTTTCCTTATGCAAGTGGGTTATTTTATATTTCATCTCCTGAAAAATTACTTTTTGATTGAAAAAAATGAGTGGTCTCTGAATTTTGCACATACAATATATGCAAGTCTGACAGAACTTTCCATGGAAGCACAACATCTTTAATAATAAGCTTCCCCTTCAGCTTCAGGAAAAAAAAACAGCAGAAAACATATATTCATCAGAAAATACAATATGTAGAAACATCTATAACTAAATATAATTTTTTCAGTATTTTGTTTCTGTCCTTTGTCTTACAACTTCCCCGCAATATTTTCTTCAAAAATACCCTGCCTTTGATTCTGAAACAGCGGAACAGTCAATTAATATAGCTTTCTGTCCATGCCAGTGTTCTGACAAACCAGAGCAATGCAAATTCAAATTTGTGATTTGGCGGAATGAACTGATGTTCCCCTTACAAAAATTACTAACGCTTACCATTTTACATTAACACTCATCACTGGAACTTCCTCACCACTTTTACTACTTTAAAATTATAGGAAAGTGTAATTAATTTGATACATTAATGAAACAAAGCAGTGCATGCTTTTTTGTGTTTGGTAACTTGGCTGTTTTAGACAGTATTCCAGTGTCTATATCAGCATAATGTATTTTGTTCTCTCCACAGAGAAGCTGCTGCAAGAGTTTTTTGAGTTTTATGGCAGTTTTGCCTTCAACAGAAGCTCCATCAACATCAGGAAGGTGAGTTACGTACACAGACCCACAGTGTTCTGCTTGCTGTGCAGTGGGCCATATTCCATATCACTTGTTCACATCTGGCTAAAACAGTAAATAAAAAAATGAAATGGTCAAAGAAAAAAGGAAGGTGTAAAATCCTTGGTGTCCTTGTATTCATTCAGGTAAGAAAGAACTGACTCCAATAGTAACCAATACCATTTTGCTTTCCCTTCCCACCAATCAGTGATGCGTCACAGTATGGAAGGAAAATGCATCATGATTTCAGATTCCTGTTGACTGTGGGAAGTGCACATGTTTTCAGAAAGACTCACTTGTTGTCTTGTGGTCATCTGTTTAACGTGTGAAAACCCATGCTTCTTTCAGTCTCTAACAGATTCTAATCGCAACTTATTAGGAAGAGCTACAACTTTTTTTCTTACTAAAAGGATTAATCACTTCCACTGTGTGTGGTCAAAAGCCCATCAGATAAGTGTCAACTGTGGGGATTTTACTGCATGTATTCATTGAACTAAAGCGCTGTAGAGGGAAACCACCCATTTACAAATACATGCGGAAAGTGCTTGCATGCATGCATGCACACAGCACATGTATGATATGCGAATGGTTATAAATATTATAAATATTCTCAAATTTAGCATACAGGCACATTTCACTGCCCACAGCCACTTAGCCCTCTGTCCCTTTCTACACACACACACACACACACACACACACACTACACTTACTTCAAGGTTCAGCACTCACTTTGCCATGGCAGTGCTGATGTATTGAGGGACTGCTGTTGTAAATGTCAGCCTTGGCCTCTGGCTGTACCTCTTCTGGGGAAGCCATCATCTATCCTGAAGTCATTTATCCTGTTTTTATCATTTTGTCCATCACATCTCCTCACTGAGAGGATGAACAGTCAGCTTCTGGACTGTTAGATATGTACAGATATGTGCATATTTATGCATATTTACAGGGCCTTTTAATACAGAGGACCTCAAAACTTTTTTTTTGTTAGAGGGAGAGAGAGAGTTTGTTAATAAGGTGCCTGTTGGTTTTCTCTGTTACACGTTGTAATGTTAGCTTTATCTACCATATGGCTCTTAACCTTCTGATTATTTTACTTGACGTTAAATTTAGCTTGAGCACATAGAACTGAAAATAAATGCCAGCATGCTTTGGAACTAGAACTTGATTCAGTGGGACTCACTGCAGTTAAACAACCAGGCTAAATTGACTGGGTTTTATCCCAAGACAACTAGACCTACCCTAGAAAAAGTAGAGAAAGTTCCTCTGTTCCCTGTCTACTGCTGATCAGAAAAAGGTTACAAATAATATTAAATAATATGTACATATTACATTTTATTTACTTTTACTATTAAAACATTGGGTTGTTATTGGGCCTTTAATTCCCTACGATAAATTCTGCTGCAAGTCTCTGCTGCAAGTTGCCCAAAGTCAAAAATAGCAAAAACCATAAAACAACACAATAAAAACATAGAGACCAGTTTAAACAACAAAAAAGACAATAAAAAAAATAAAAAAGGCATAACCATAGCAATAACACAAAAGAAAACTCTCATACAGAGTTGAGAGCCAAGAAATAAATGTGTTTTATTTCCAGAGTATGATCTAAAAATTTGCCGTTTTTTCTTTACAGCTTAGATATCCTGGTGGTTTAGATGGCGCTGTTAGCACACAAGTCGCCATGAGAATTCACACCAGAAGGAGCTCAATAATGCACGTTTACTGTAACATCGTGTTGGGTTGTCCAGTACTGTACTAATTAATGTCATTTTTAATATAAATTTTCATGAAAACAGCTAATATTAAAAGTTTATAAACTAAAAATACAATAAGAAGTAGGTCAAAACTGCAGTGAATTACATATATTGGTTGGGTAGGGATGATGTAATCAATTATCTTAATCTTCTAGAACTTATTGTGCTAATTAATCTTAGATACGTTCATCCAAGCCTCATGTGTACATAAGTGTCCTGTGTTTTTTTTAAGTTTCTCATCCATTAACATTTGATTGCATGTGATTTGTAGCACTTTTTTGGCTTACAGACAGTTTTAGCTAAGAGCTACTATGTGTAGTAGCTTTGCTTGAGTGAACATGTGTCTGAAAACATTCCCTGTGTCCTTTTCCCCAGGGAATAGAGCAGAACAAACCTGAGGCAGCTGCTCTGCACATCCAAAACCCATTTGAGCCCAATCTAAACGTTAGCAAAAATGTTAACGCTACACAGATAGAACGGTTTGTGGCACTCTGTCGAGAGAGCGCCTGGTTGCTCCAGCAGGGGGAAGTGCTTAAAAGAAGTGCTGCCCAGTCAGCTGACCAAATCCCTCCATGGGGTCTGGCTGCCCTCCTCTTGCCTTCAGTTGCTGAGTCTGCAGGGGTGAAAGGTCGCAGGAAGAAAAAACGTGAGCCAGCAAGTGAGAGGATAAAGACTTTGCTGCAGTCCCTGAAGAGCGGCCGTGGAGGAGCAGGTGAGAAGCAGAGCAGTGACGATCAACGCCACTAGAGGGCAGTATGCTTCTTGACTTTGAAGAGATCTAAGGAAGCATTGAGGAACATGTTTCTCTCTGCCTGAATTGGTTATACACTCAGAGAGGATATGGTCAAGGATAAAGTCTTGAGAGGTGCAGCTGAGTGGGGCTGTGATAAGTCCAGCCTGATGAGGAGGAGTGGCTGTTTGACCCTTACACAGTAACTGCCTTTAAAAGGCCAAACCAGCCAGGTCTGTTTTAACCACAAGAACACTACAGAACCACATCCACAAAACATGCAATGTTTATGTTTACTACTCTCACACAGTTTCTGATTGAGGTGTTGAGGGGTATTTTTAGGTGTCTTTAAAAAGGATGTCTGAGAGCCTGCTGTTTCTGTTCAAGGTGAACAGTGGTCAAGGTTCACTTGTCTTGGCTTCATACTCACTCAGTTCCTCTTTAAAAGATTTCTGGTACTGAAGTGCCAGTCAGACAGCTGTAATCCAGATCCCTATAGAGTGTCTGTGGTCTTGGGAAACATGAACTTCACCTTTGAAGGTAAGCGTATAAGTGTACATATAAGGTAGAAATGCAGATCTACCTTTATCCCACATGTATAAATAACAAATGTTTTGTATCGTATTAAATAACACTTTCACAAAATGCTGGTTTTTGGTTGTTTTCATGTGTATCATTGCCAGTCGTGTTGAAGGACCTTTTTAAAAGCTTCTGTATAAAGCTGGACTAATATATATGTGTGTGTGTGTGTGTGTGTGTGTGTGTATGTGTGTATATATATATATATATATATATATATATATATATATATATATATATATATATATATAATAAACAAGCAGGACTCCACAAAACCGGGGACTCGAAGACCATCAAGGCTGAACGTGTTTAGAGTTTTGTAGTGGTGAAGGATAACTTTGGTGGTAGGGGGTTGGGGGAAAAGAGGCAGTGATGGAGGAAGAGGGTGAAAAATAGAGGCTCTGTCCCATAGGAGCCCTGCCTAAGTGTAGGAGTGCGCACCAACCAGCTGCTTTTCCGCTCTGCGCCTGCTGAGGTCGGAGGTCAAGGAATAAAGTTGAAAATATCCCTCTTCAGCCCCTTTCATCGGCAGTTCAGCTCAAGCAGGGAAAAAGAGCGAGAGATGGTTATTAACTTTAACACCAAATGAGGAATGGCTTTGAACAGCAAGCCTGGAAGGTGAGAAAGAGGCTGAGGTCCCTGAGGGAGGAAGATGGTGTGATTAGGGAGGAGGTGGAGAACATGCAGATAGACAGAGGAGGAGATTGTGACAAAATCTCTTACAGTTTTTCATGGGTGAATCTTTTCTCGGAGGGCCAGTAGTGAGTTTATATATTAGCCTGAGGAGCTTTGTTTGAGGTGTGTCTCTTCAGTACCGCTCCTCGGTACATAGAATCTACTTGAGTGTGGTTGAATAATGTTAGGATGAGCTACCCTTTGTTGAAAGAGCGCTGTCAAACTTTGTCCAGATGGACAGAATGGACAGTAGCATGAAAACCCACTTCAGCGCGGCTTCAAACCATCATATCTTGATCACAGGCCTGGCCATTGCAGCTCTTATTCAACAGATCTACAGTATTTCTGTATAGTTTTAAAGGAAACCTGTGTGCCAGCTTGAAGATTTACCATGATTTGAACCCTTTGCCTTTTAACAGCTAATGTGATCGAGTAGTCCCTATAGCTTGACTATAGTATGCACAAATGAATCCATCTTTCTTTCTGTCTTACTCTTGCTCTCTCGCTTGCTTGCTTGCTTATTCTTGGCTCCCTAGGCTCTCTCCAGAGCCTGAAAGAATTTAGAAAGGTGGCTTGAGGGTTTTAAAAAACAGGAGGGATTTGCAGGAAAAACAGCATGTAATGAAAATGGCCTCTACTTTCCCGGCTTAGCGGAATTTGGTCTAAACCTGCACTTTTTTCAGCTTTTTATAGGCGCTTTGGAGGCTTTTGCTAGTTAAGCTGCAGTTCAGTGTTTTTAAAGTTCCTCTCCTGGTAGAAGAAAACACTTTCTCTGGAGGAAAAATATCTAAATCCATCTCTCTGTGTGGTAATGATTACAGGGTTAAAGTCATATTTTGTTACTTGTATATTTAGTCTGTAAACTGAGTCACAAATGCAGTAAATTGAATAAAATGCAGGCGTTTTAGAGTAGTAACCCAGCAGCACAATGTATTCATTTAAAGATGCCACTTCTGACTTGGTATTGTAGCAGTGTTTGTTTATTTCAGCTTGTGCTATGTCTGTTGCCATTTGGGAGCAAGTATTGACAGGCTGGAACCAACATAGCTAGCCAATCAGCCAATTTGGCCATTTTAAGATTATACAGAGACAGTGTAATTGTCAAAAAAGGCAAATTGTTAATCATGATTATTTATATGGCAACTAAATGTCAGCTAAAATGTCATGATTGTGACCGAGCCATCGATATGATTTGTGTATCATTGTGAATCATTAAATTTAACATTTACTTTTGTAACCATTTTAAATCTTGCTGTGTGGATAAAGTGGCATTCCTGTTGTGCAAGAAGTTTACTATTAGTTCCAGCTACTCTCTAAAGTGCATTATTGGAATTTTGAGTTTCTTTCTCATAAACTTATATGCATGTTCCATGTAAGAAGTTCTGAATTTAGCATGAAGATGTCTTTCTGTGCTTGACAGCTGAGAGGACCTGGAGTATTTGATGCTTTTCCTTCCTGGCAGGGTTGAGCCTGGCAGTATTAATTAGCTCAGTAATCTGATGGAAAATTCTGCCCTGTTGTTGTTTTTAACAGGCTTTTCATTCGGCACGCATTGCGTTAGTGTTGTAAGACTGGGCCTCACTGTGTTTTCCAACAAGTGCCATTCTTTCAGCTGTCTACCTCAGCAAGGCATAATTAGAGCCTGGCACCACTGCCATAACTACAGGAATGATGGAGGCATGCTGGCATGTGGTTCTCTCTCTCTCACTCTATCTTTCTCTCGTCAAAGCAGTGAGCGGTGACTGCATCAGCACAATATGGTTTCCAAGAATGGCTCATTCACAGAGCTGGGCCTGTCTCCATTCAAACTCACTCTTATTAACGAGTGCTGGGAAAAACCAACCAGGCCCTAACTTCATATACATGCAACATACACAGGCCTTTTGTATCCCAGGATGTTGTAGTGCACTATACAGGCTCTCTGGTTATAGGAAAGGGTCAAGGTCAAGTTGGCATGGCAACATCACCCAGTTTACGCCTCTGATTAGAGCTTTTGTTTCCTTCACATTGTTTTTTAATTCTGTTTTCCCTTCACCTCACTTATCACAGCTGCAGGAAGGAAAATGTGTGTTTTGTATACTGTTGAGAGAAGCTGGTTGAAATTGCTCTTGGAGGTCCGGCAAAGACACGGTTTGTTGCTGATAAGGCTTTGATGATGGAGAGGTGGAAGCGACTGTGGATCAGCTTATCATTCAGTCTTGGTGTGAATGCAGATTTTTTTCCCAGGGTTCAGTTCAGTTGCTGTGTGTTTTGAGTGTGTGCTTCCTTCAAGGTAAACTAAAAGATTTCTAGAGGTTTTCTGTATTAGTCCCCCCAATCTTTGAATTTGACTTTGTGTGTTGGGTCTGGGTTGGTTGTGGAGTGCTGCTGGCGCCAGCAGGAATTAATATTAGCAGTCTTGAAGTAAAAAAAAATGCTTATGAAGTGAAGGTTTATACATTGACAAGTGGAAGCGTCAGGTTCATGATCAAAATTATATGACAAACAAGGGGAACAGTGTAACTGATGTGACACCCTACCTTTATGAAGCCCCAAAAACGATTTGCTTATAGTGCCCCCTTGTGGAGAAACCTCAGCCTGCTAAATGAGTGTCAGTCATCTATTCCTTTGCCAAAAATAGGTAAAATGCTCACCCGAAGTGATAAACTTTGCTGCTTGCACTGACCTTGAAAATCAAGCTACTTTGTATGTTTGCCCTTTTGAGAGTGTTGTTTGCATGCTTTGCTTGCTTTCCTTTATCTAATGTGCTTATTTGGAGACTGTACAGCCAATCTGAGCTCTCTTTGTTGACGCCTGATTAAACATGTTCACTTGCCCAAAATAGTGCTGTCTCACTCTGAACTTTTTATTGGTATCAAGCCTTTATAGTTTGCTCATAATAGTCCTTAATATAAAACAGTACTTAAATATCAATTTAAAGGTTCTAGAGGGAACCAAAAGTGGTCTCTGATCCAGAGAACTCTTTTTGGCAGTTTTGTTGTTAAGAGTGTAGACGCACGTAGGCCCAGGCAGTCTAGACTGGATGGAGAAGTTCAAAGAACTTGAATAACTCTATATGTATGTGTGGATACATGTGTGCCTGAGGATTAGCACCGTCGCTCACATAGAAACAGGTTATGTAGACTGTTCCTCACATTCACAAAAGTATCTTTAGTCCTCATTCTCTCTCTCGCTCAGACAGCAGCAGCAGATTGAGTCGGCTCTGGAAGATCTGCTTGGGCCCTTCTGAGAATCTCGGATTACTTTAGTGGTTGTGGATCTGTAAATAATGACATCCATTCCTGGAACCATAAAGGCTGGGATGTGTCTCTGCTAGAGTCATTAGGGTAGTAGCACTAGTAGCTCTCCTGTTTCCTCATTTCATTATTCAAAGATACGATTGTAGGATCTAATTTCCCTTTTCACGCTCAGAAGGCTCTCTGTGATCTTTGAGAAGCATGAAGACAGTCCCTCCTTTACTTTTCCACCTGGAAAGATTCATCTTGGTCTGTCTTGGTCTGCATCTGTATTCATGCAGATGTGAGAGTATCTAAGTGCATGACTGCAGTATCTCTGAACATCTCCGCTTTCATAGTAAAACCCCTTCATAAGCATTAACTGTAAAATTTGCTCCTCTGTCAGGTTGTCAGGAACATATAGAACATCTTCAGCAATTGGCTTAATGTGATACTGTTAAGTTTGGCAGTAATTGAGAACTTAAGGAGATAATAATCCTGGCGCAGGGAACTAAAGCATATCTTAACCTATGGATGAGACAGAGGAGACAGTGTGTGTCTGTGGTTTATCTGATGTCATTAGTCAATTGAATTAAAGTTTTAAATAAGAATATAAATGAGGATCTACTTAGCAGATGCTCTGTATTCCGTGATAATGTGATTTAGCTGAATGGAAGATGGCTCTGAAGGGATAAGTCAGTGAAGAGTGTATTTGTCAAATGCAGGCCACATTGAGCTGCAGCAGGAGGCAGTGAGGACTTTTAAGAAGGGACTACCCCACACCACTGTAACACATGCCGAAGGCTTCTTGGATTTTTAGCAGAAGAATGATGGGGAATGAAATGGGGACATACTTCAAAGTGGCGTTGGAATAGTTCACATCAGGATCATCACTCTCACAGCAAATGTAGAGGATTTCTATCTCATGAAGCTTTAATTTAGCAGTCCCCTACATAAGTGTACTTGCCTGATACATGTCAAATCCGATGTTACTACATAGGAAGTTGCTTTGCAGACTAGCTGCAACCTTAAGCCTAAGAAAGGTGCTGTACAAGAGAAAAACTCATTGGGCTATATATGTTTGTGTGTGTGTGTGTGTATATATATATATATATATATATATATATATATATATATATATATATATATACAGTTATACAGTTATCGTTATGAG